TGATGCTCAAGTCATTTATTTGCAGGTGCCAATACACGTTGACGAATGGCTGTTGTTGTACATGACTTGATGTCATTTCGAGTTCCTTCTGAAATGCAACGAGTGAAAATAGTGATAGGTTTTATCAAACAAATGCACCTTCAGTTTGGCATTAGGAGAAAAAATAAACAATATTATGTGTGGCATAGTGTTGGTCATCGAATTTGCCAGCCATTTCCGCACTTCCCTCACGTCATTTGTTACAGATCTCACGCCTTATTATTAGCACATATTGAAGATGAAAGGTCTCGTATCTTATGGCAATGATATCGTCTGTAATTTTGAATTTTTTAAAACTACTTTCTGAAGCTTCTGGATGTATCTGTTGTATGTGTTTATTCCGATAGAGATCCTCCATCATCCAAATACACGGTCGTTCTGAGTGAATCAGTCAGTTCTAATATGATTAAACATAGCATTACCAATGAGCTTTTTGTTGTAGCATACAAGTATTATCCTCTCAAATCGATACATACCATGAAGAAGACTCTGTTGCCAATCTGGCTTTTGTGTATTTTCAGACACAGCAGGAAACGTCACTGTTTCATCTGGTTCAGAAGAGATTCCACCTGTTCGACAGGAACATGATCTTATCAATACTATTGCACTATTGACAATGTGTTCTGGCATATTTGCGAAATCGAATAAATTGAAGATGACACAAAGGTCCTAAATCAGAACAAGCAAGACTGATGTCAACGATAATGTACGAGTATGCTGAAAGTGAAATTTGTGTAATATCGTAAGCCATCAGTTAAGGGCTAATGCGTTGCTTTGGTAAAATGATACTATTACGAAAGCCAGAAGTGATGCACATCTCAGACGTTAATCGCTTTGATGAAATCCACAAGCACGGATATAGTAAGGACAACTATAGCAAACTACTTAGGGTTTATCTGGGATTCAAACTCATGATCATAGATATTGTTTGTCGGGTTCCAACACAAAAATGTACAGGGAGATATTGCTGGAATGGTGCCTAGTGCGACGTTAAATAACAAACAAATATGGCTACAATAGCCAACATGCATACACGTCGGAACATTAATATATAAAAGCGACAACACCCTTTCCATAATCATTAGAAATCAACGCTAAAAGCAGAGTCCATTGTACGACTTTAATAGAAGCATGTGTTAATGAATATCTTTAAAACAGTGATGATAAATAGAGACTACTGCGCGAATGTCTGTCAGATAGCATTTTAATTTACAATGAGTTGTTTCAAAAACAGCGAAAGATAAATAGTATCTGACAGGCAGTAATCTGTTTCCCCCTAAAATCGCACCTTTTTAGCATCGAATCGATGCATTTTGTCTATATTTTCACGATAGCAGTGGCGCATTAATACATAGAACCACGGTCATGAGTGACGTCATCCTATATACGACCCGTGAAGATCCGGGGTAGAATAGGTCTTCAGCAATTCATGCTTGCCGTAAAAGGCGACAATGATGGGGTGGTCAGGCTCGCTGATTTGGTTGATGCATGTCATTGATCCCAATTGCGTGGATCGATGCTCACGATATTAGTCACTGGATTGTCAGGTCAGGACTCGATTACCTACAGACCGCCTTCATATAGCTGGAGTATTTCTGACTTTTAACAACACACCAATCAACCAAATCATCCTATGCACTGCTTACTGATTAATGTGACGCGACACAAAAAGGTTTCCGCCATATCTGTGGATTATCAATGCGATGATGAGAATGCAAACTGGATCAGATCCAAGAGGGTTGATGCCCCGTTAATAATTTTCTCCTCAAAGAAATTACAAAATATGTACAATAATGTTACTTCCGTATGACATCGCTACCGATGACCAACTTTTACCAAATGGCGTGTTCACTCAAAACAGTACGCAGGATTTTCAGAGGAGGATTATCGTGCATGAGGTATCGTTCATAAATAGTATTAAAAGTAATATGAAACAGACAATCTGCGTACGTATATATACTGTTATTTTGTTTTACAATGCACCCAAGAGCATAGGTCCTAAATGCAGATAACTACCGTCGTCGTTGTGCGTGATTTTGCGTAAGTCATGGGCGTCACACAGGACGGACTCTTTAGAATTTCTGTTGAATTTACATGATCATTGTTATGTATATATTTGTAATTCTACAATTCGGGCTACGATACTCTTCCCATGAATATTCTCAAACGCGTGAACCATTGTATGCAACAATTAGATGAATGGGTGTCTCAAAATAGGAGCAAAGGCTTTACTGTGTAAAATCTTAATTTCGCTTTGTTTACATTACAACAAGTACAGTTTTCCGTGAACATATTCCTCTCCACACCTCATTTATTTCGCTTGATTTCAGCTTGATCATTTTCATTGGTGACAAAGACTATTTATCTTTTGATTCTAAAATGTATGATGAATTCAGGGACGCATGTATCGCAGCTGAGTTTGAAATATAAATGATCTAATAGGCGTCTCATAACCGGCATACGTGAAACGTGATTTTGTAAAGACTATCTAAACGATTCTAGGTAAACGGCGACCTTTCAGAAATTATAATTTGTAAATGAAATTCAATTCTTCGAGTGAGTATCCGATATTTAGATTTTAAACACACAGTAAATAACACTGTTAAGGTCACTGTCAGTAATTTTGCTTTGTCTAAATTGACAGCGGAAGATATCACAGAAGAGAGAATTACACAGAATTCAAAACTGTGAAGTGTATAAGTGTGATTTAATTTGAATTTTATTCGACATCTAAGTGAGGGGTGAAGAGGAGGGACATATATGTCACTGTGGCAACCATGCAGTAATGTTGTTATTTTTGAGAGTTTGGAAGATACATTATTCATCAAAGCTGAAAAGATATCTCTGTTGAATTTCGCTAAACATGCATTTTGATTATAACCACGTTTGGTTTGTTTACCTGCATAAATTGAACCAACCTTGTTTGTAGAGGGACAAAGCTCATCCTCCCAAGAGCTGTTTTTTCCTGCAGAGTATGATGTGTTAAATTTATAATGATATCATATGGTATTCAGAAGTAAAATTAAAACAATGACGATTATAATCTGAATCACAATACCTATAAAATGATACAAGTTACACGTTAACTTAAACTGTGAGCGAAAACAATAACATTCAACATACGTTTGCGTGTAGGTGCTTCATGTAGTCGGATCTCTGTGTGATCACCTGAAATTTGAATTTTGTAACAAATAATGACACCTCTATTCAAGCGTTTCAAAAGACTTTAAATTGGCCGCCATATTTAAAAACAATGACATTATGATCGTTTTCGACGCCAACTTCGAACGCTTTGGCTCAAATTCATCTTAGTAATGACTGTCTCAATGTTTAATGTTGAACTGACAGAACAATGCGCCACTCACATTGATGTGCAGAATTGTGCCAATCTGCTTTATATCTCGGTATCGTCCTCATCATAATCATTGGTTTGTATGCACCATACCTCTCCTCACTGTCATTCATAGAAATCACTACAGGCTTTGGCTGACACGCCATGAGCTTCTGCGCAAATCTCTTACTCACTCATATGTAAGCTTCAAAGCTGATTTTGCCTAAACTGAAGGTTTAGCTATTATAGTGTTTATGAATAGTCAAAGTGTTTCAACTTGGATCGATAACACGTATTTCATGGTTAAGCTGCCAACGATGCTTCACGGAATAGCTATTTTACCACATGATTGACGATGTCATAAAATACTTAAGGTCGTTATGTAAATACTTAACACCCCTTAGACAATGATTGCTTTTTGCAGATAGCTGATAGCAAAATACCCACCAGCAGCTGCAATATTATCTCGTCTAAGGCATGGTCGGTCTGGTGGTGTGCAGGACAATAAATATTGTACAGTTTTCAAGATCTGCTCCACCGCCTTTTTCAGTCTAAGTCAAAGCCGTTGTTATGGAAAGTCGAAAAATACATTTAATAAAAAACCTAAAACATCAAAAGACACCAGTTCACCACTAGACCTATTTATGTGCCATGTTTGCGTAAGTTATCACTCATGTTTTTTTAGTTCTGCTCCGGAAACAAGACGTGATGGACGGGCGGAAAGACGGACGGACAGTACCCATTTCTATATCTCAATTGTATTTAAAAATTCGTGAAACTGCCAGGACAAAAAATAACATCCCTGCAAGGTGTTTTTCTTTTTAAAAAACTTCAGGCACCTCGCAGGGATGTTTTGTAGGTGTGACTGAAAAAAACATATCTAATCTCAATGCAAAATCCAAATGCACCACTCTAGTCCTGTAAGTCCTGCGACCAACTCGAAATAATATTTACGCGAATTTACCGGATGATGGTCTTAACAAAGCTAACTCCTTTCTATCATTAATCTTAAAAGTTGATAGTGAGCCTGCTCTATTAAATCGTTCACAATAAGACAGACCGTATAGCCATTCTGGATGTTGCTAGGCACTGTAGTCGAAAACCCGATTTCTGCATTTGTCAAAATACATCAACAGTTATGACCTCATGGACCGTGCACTTTCTGGATGACCGAGTGACGACCCGGCCCAGGTGATAGGCAAGCTCATTTAAGGTGACTCCCATATAAAAGCTAATATCGTACATCAGGCTGCAAGGGAGGATATTTACTTGTGGTTGGACCAGATTGACTTTTCTCATTCAGATCTAGTGATAAATTCGAGCACACCTAACAAAGTGTAATGGGCTGTCTGTCTGGTGATGGCATATCAGGTAATGCTGCATATCAATACAAACTGTCTCTTGTCAATTTTCTTTGAACTAAAATCGTTCTGCAATTTGATAGCTAGGTATGTGTTCACCTTCCCGTCGACAACCAGACCAGGCAACAAAAGTCAGATATGTTTAACCAGATCACGAAGAGATTAGGCCTTCTTGACAACCTTGACCCTACTTTACCTTGCTAAATACTTAGGTGATTAAATGAACAGGCGATTCCAAAGCAAATGAATGTTCGAGGTGCGATAGCAAGGCAAGTTCATCAGTCGTAATATCTAGAACTGCTAACGTATCCTCATGCTCAGTTACAATGGGCAAAATATAACAAAAGAAAATATTATTACACGAAATAAAGATTATGATATGTTCCATATCTGCTTACCTCCACGAATAAAATACCAGATCCTCCCTAGATTGTCAATGCCTTGAACCTTGTCAGAGATATCACAGTCTGCCACCACATTGATAATGTCAGCCAAAGTCCTGCTTTCCAGATGATCAGCAGGGATAATATGATCCTTACAAATGGACAACCTCCTGAAGAAGAAAAAAGAAACTTAATGTGTAAGTTTACTGCTATCATGAAGCCTAGCTGACGGGGATATGTGTTGAAGGTTCGGTTCAATTAGTAGTTGAGATAAATGAGAAACCTTTAAGCAAAAGGGGAGGATCGTGGTATTATGTAATACGTACCTTGCAGTCTTTATTAATGCTTCTGACTTTGCGACAATTGTTGTTGGGCCTGACTTCTCTAGTCTTTTGGCGATCTCAAGTAAGAGGATATCCCCTCCACAAGAAGGTGTTGAATTCACCACCACTTGGTTGTGGTCAATATTTTCGGTAAGGACCCGAAACTGCTCGAGCGTGAGACAATACAGCGAATTAACGTCATCCTCTGAGAAAACGCAATTAGTAAAAGCAACTGATAACAGAAATGCACTGGTGACTTCCTTGAACTTCTTATCTGACATGCTTAGTGTCACGGGGACGCACCATTTGGACGTTTCAACCTTTATTGCATTGATAGCATCCTTAAACTTGTAATCATCCATGAGGTCAGATTCTGTCATCAGTCCAAAAACCACACTAAACTGTTCCTTTGCGTATCTTCGGACGGATGCGACAACACCTTTTGCGAGTGTTTGGTTATACTCAAGTACTTCTCGCTTGCTTCTTACTTTGTCACGGATAACTGTAAATACTGTTGTAGGTCCATCTGGCACAAAGACAATGGCGTCGTAAATGGCGTCGGCTGAATTTGGTTTGGCAGTTATGTTACCAGATACTGCCATCGTTTTGGCTGTGTAGGCGAAACATGACTTAAAAGTGCCCTTAAGTCTCTGATGTATTTCCCATCGGATTCCAGAGTCTTCATCGATGTCCAGTTTGGGATAGAAACACAGTTTATCTGAAATGGAAGAGCATTAAAGCATTAAAATAAATAAATTGGTTGTTTGTTGTTCGATGTTGCACTTAGCTTTATGACGACGGCCTATATATAATCAAGTCTGGACCAGACAAAACAGTGATTGATATTGTGAGCAACGATCACCGCCGTCGTGGTACGAGTGAGTAAGTGAGTTGGGTTTAACGCCGCTTAACTAAAAATGTCCATGAGACTTTATTGTCTTCACTATAAATGAAAATACTAACGATTATAAGCATTTATAGGAATCACAAGTTTGTCATATTATTGTAGTTATATCACTGTGTGTCAACTTGATGTGGGAGGAAAGCCCGAAGTGATTGAGGTCTCAGACGTTTACCACTTCGGTGAAACCCTCGAGCACGGGTATGATGCTGACAAACCTAGAAACATAATCGGGGCGAACCGGGATTCGAACCCACAAGTCACTAAGCCTGACTACTTGATTTGTTTGGTCGCTTCTTTCAGCCAGCAAAGGATAGGTTGCTTGGGACCTGTTCTAGCCCGGCATCCCTACTGGGGTCAAAATGCATTGCTTTTATCAAGGTAACTAGTCAGTTGTTTGCTTTATGTAGAAAGACAGAAGCCACCTGAACCCCTTCTTTTCCTAAATGGCCCAAAACCTTCTCACCAGAAACATGTCATGAATCGTTTGACTTTATCAAATAGGTTATAGGTGACCTAACCAATGTCTTTACATATTCATCTCTGATCACAAAAAAGTATCATTAAGCCCTGTGCCTCTAGCTATCATCAAATATACATTTCAGGTTTAAATACATTACTTAAGATTTTGAAAAAACATACGCCCAATCCATGACGACTTAATGACAGAAAGTCCCATGTCTGTAGCTATGCATTTTCAATTTACTGACAACTTTGAGACAAAAGCCCGTGCCTCCAGCAGAGAAAGTCGTCTATATGCACACAGTTTCAGCCAATCAATCAGTCAGTTGAAGTTTTGTTTGTTGTTGCAAAGATGGGTATAAGCTCTTAAAAATATGTTATACAACAATAGGTTTTAGTTCCGTACACAAAGAAGTAGAACTACCCTAAGAGACACTGACCTTTAGAGATAGTTGCAAAGAAGCTTTCATCTTTAATGCCCCACTCTAAGGATGATATGTACCAAACTTCATCCTACCTCCAATGGACACTTTTACTACGAACACAATACATATTTACGCAGATGACGCTGAAGAGCGATTTTGAGCTTAAATATCAGTTGCAAGTGTAAGACATCAATGACCAAGACAAGTCTCTATCAAAGACACTTTAATATGTCTGACTCAACTAATATGTGCTTTTGTACAAGGGAGACAACTCAAATCAACTTGACATGCACAGCATACAATCTAGTCAAGACAACCTGCATAAGCATTCTATGACACCTCCCTTCTTAAGATAGTTACGAGACTCGTAATTCAACATTTAACCTTTCTTATAAATGTACCTGAAATAAAAGTTATGAATGTAACTGCATGCAAGCTTTAGAGTCCATGATAAAATCCCTATCACGTGTCTCTATTTTACTTCAAATTAAAGATCGCTTTAAACACTTTTAACACTTTAAAGTCAATCTGTGAATCTGGCTGGTGGCACGACTGATGACGTGGACATAGACGACGACACTGACCGTGACGTTGACTTTGACTTTAACGATGACTGTGATGATGACGTTGTAGTTGATGACAGTGGTGACTTCACTTGCTGTTGGAACTGTGTTGTGTTGTTGGATGTTATGGGAGATTCAAGGTTTCTTTCATTGTTGTCAAAACACAATTTCAGAGGGTTAGTTTCATTTGTTTTCAGGATATCTCTACGGCTTCTTCTGAATAATGTTCCACTACTTTCAGCAATGTATGAACGTTGTTCTTTGCTTGGTTTACTACAGTTCCTGGTATCCATTTACCGTCCTTCCTCAGTCGTACTACATCACCTTGTTGAAGTGGTTTCAGCTCCTTACATTTCCTGTCATGATAATATTTCTGTTCATACTGTTTCTGTTTCAGGTGACTCCTGACATGGCTGTGATCGAATCCTGGTTTCAGGAGAATAACTGTTCTTGTTCGACGACCCATCAGTAGCTGTGTAAGAGATCCAATTTCGTCTATAGGGGATGCTGCGTCCAGCTTCGAGAATACGGTTGCTTCCTTCAGGTTAGCTGCAACTTCCTTTACAGTCTTCATTGGGAAATGTTCATGAAGTATAGCTTGATTCAAGCTGTGCTGATCAAGGCAGATCCTCACGTTCTTGTTTGATGTTTCTACGACGACAATAGGGTTGACCCACTTTGTTGGTTACCGTCGTTATGATGTCGTCTTTCTCCAATCTGTTCATTTCAGCCTTCACTTGATCCTGAAGGGCATATTGTATCCTCCGTGGTGGCTGAACTACTGGTCTTACAGAGTCGTCCGCGTTGACATGATGTTTGATGCCCTTGATCTTCCCAAGACCCTTGAATGTATACTCGAACTCGCTGAATATCTGTGAAGTAAGGGCTTTCTCTTCTTTTTCAACTCTGAACATCGGCTTGATCAAGTTCATTTCCATGCATGAAGAAAGTCCTAGTACTGGCTGTACGTCTTTGTCGACGACGACACACTTCACAGAAAACATCTTCTTCTTGTATTCGACGGCAAGATGTGATTTACCCATTGGTTCCAGTTTGTGTCCAGAATATGAAATTAGCTTCGCCTTTGATCTGGTAAGCATTCTTCTTCCATATGATTTGTAAAATTCCTTACACGTGACGTTACATTCAATTCCAGTATCCAGTTTCATTGAAACTTGCAATTGGTTTCCGCAAACTTCAACATTAATTTTCCAGTCTTTTTCTGTACCTTTCCATTTGTCAGTGCACCTATGAAGAAAGTTTCTTCTTTGCTTCCATCAGAATCGTTGAGATTCATAATCTGTCATGTCATTTTCCAGCCTGTGAACTTTTTTTCTTCCTTGTATCATGTTGATTGAAACGACAGACCCGTGCCAAGCGATTCCTCGTTTCACAATTTCCACATGTTTCACCATATGCAATACAATTGTGTTTTCTTCCACAAAAATGACAGTCCTTTTCATTTCAGTGTCTTTCCTTCTCTTCATACCTGTCTTTGAACTTGTGTTTCCTTTCTGTTTGATGTCTTCTTTGCTCATTTTTATGAAGATTTTGGTGCTGCTTTTTTCCTTTGTTTTTTTTTCGAAATTACATGCATTTGTTTTCCTGATTCTCCTGCTAACTCTTTCAGCTGTGATACAATTGCTTCTGCGGCCCTTCATATGTCTATCGCCTGATCTAATGTTAAGTCTGAATCACGCAACAGTCTTGCCCTAACTTGATCACTGACAATTCCACAGACAATGCGATTTTAAATTAAAGAGTCATTCAAATTGCCATATTCACACGTCTTTGTCTTCTGAGATGAATACAGTAGTTGTCTATAGATTTATTGGGACCTTGATTTCTGGTGTTGAATAAATGTCCCTCATATACAGGTAACATTTCTTCTTAGGTTACAGTAAGCTTCAAATTTCTCATAAATTGGCTCTAATTTTGTTTAATCACCTGCATGTGTCCATCTGAAAGTGTTGTAAATCTCCAAAACATCAGTTCCAAGCACATGAAGCAATGATTTGCCTGCACTCATTCATCCTTCTCCGCAGTACTGCTCCAGTTTTCTGCCAAATTGCGCTTCAAACTCAGTCCAGGAAGTGGGCATTGTTTTTCCATTTTCAGTTCACTTATGACACTATGTAAGGCATCAATGACCAATACAGGTCTCCATCAAAGACACTTTAATATGTCTGACTCAACATGTGCTTTGGTGCAAGGGAGATAACTCCAGGTGGTTTAAGATTACAATCAACTTGTACACTAAATGATCGTAGTAAGGCAGTAAACACACTTTTGTTTGGGCTATGACTTTGAAGATAATCTTGACGTGACATGTATACCAAATATACTTCAATCATGGCCTTCACTAGGGGATTGCCGTTGTACACAGGTTCCTTTTGACCTTTTTCCGGTCTCGGTCTTGTCCTATGGAAGACCAAGTTTCATTGGCCTACAAGTACTATAGTAATCCTTCTCAAGTTATGCTGTAAGCTAACATTTATTTCAGGCCTTGAGGCTGACCTTGATCATTGATATGATATGTTTATGTGTCAAAAGTATATAAAACATTTTGAACAAATTAACTGAGCAATAGCCATAAGAGGTTTTAGTTTAAGGTCGAATTGTAAAGGTCAAATGTTTATGGTCAACATTATATATACTGCAAAACGGAAGAGATTTGTGTAGTCTGACAACTTGACATGTAACATTTTTCAGTCATTTTGAACAAGAATTACTGCGTTATATGAATAAATAGCTTCTTCGGTGTTGCTGTCGGATGAGAACGTCTTGAAAACTGGGATGTTGTTATTTCAAGGGAGACGACGCATAATGTTTGATAGTTTAGATTTGTCAATATGCTGCATGTAATTGAGGCATCATATTGTAACCGTCAGAGCAACCAAGTCTCAAGCCTCTTGACCTAAAGTTTTGGAGAAGAGTATTTTTGAATTTTTAAATCAAAGAAGACTACCTGGTGTCCAAATTAAAGTTCCAATTTTGTTGCCAAGAACAAATGTGAACCTCTGAGAGAAACACATAATAATTCAACTGAATCTAAGCTATTGCATTGAAATCTAAACTGTAAAATGTGTATGGCCAACGAGGATGGACGACTTGCGACGACAAGTTTCAAACAAGGTGAACTGAAAACGAATTGACGGTGCAGACGGTACATACCTGCATTAAATACATGCTGTTTTATCAAGTCAATGCTGTTTCCAATCTCCAAAAATCGTGGACGACGATGGTCGAACGACACAATATTTACTTCTTGCACATGTGCCTTTAGAACAGGTTCTGAAACACACACTCTGCTTGTTTATACCAATATCTTGTCTTATTGTGTTGGAAACATGGATTTGTACAAGAAAAGGTGTGTGAAGGTACTTGCAAAAACAGCTTCCGGTTTGATATCATTACCGTCTACTTCATCATATCAGATTTATAAAACCTTGCCCATAGCTGACATAATGAGGAACCTAACGGCATTTCCACTTGAAAGACATCGCTCCAAGTCTAATTACATATTTGTAATGTTTGAATGTTGTTAATTTAGCCTCACGAATTTTAGACGATCCATAACACTTTTTCAACTCTTGTTATTCAGTTTTACCAGCTGCACGAAGAGAATCTTATTCTAGACGTTAGATATGAATGATCCAAGACCTCTGTTCTTTTGAACAAATGATACATCGTGATGTTTGTAAGCTTTTCAACCAAATAGCTACAGCATTTGTTTCTTTTTTTAATGCTCTGAATAGTGTATGTTTCATTTAGCGCCTGTTTTAAATGACCATTTGTATTCGTTAATCACTATAATATTTTACTTTTTCTGTAACATTTGTAATGTTCTCATGCCTCATTGGCAAAAGCATTATGTTATCTTGTGCCTTTTGCTGCATACTTTTTAAAGTATCATGCAAGGAGTGACTACATTATTTAAATTCTAATATATGGCAAGTGATGACAATATTTCTTGAAATGCCAGTAGTTGGTCATTTCGGCCTACTTTCAATGGGTAGCATATACTGTATTGGTTGTTACACTGTATTTCACCAATTTGGACTTATTTGGTTTTATTTGCTTTCTAGCGTTTGGACATGTCAAAAATACTTTTATTTAAGATCAAGTTCACTCTTAAGGTCACTCCTTGCATGATACTTTAAAAAGTATGCAGCAAAAGGCACAAGATAACATAATGCTTTTGCCCATGAGGGAATTCTTCTTACATAAGAGGGGGCACGGGTGGCCCAGTCGTCTAAGGCGTCGCGATTCGCTGTGCAGAGTTCCGTCCCTTGGGCACGCCAGAATCCTATGATTGTGGGTTCGAATCCCGGTTCGCCCCAGTTATGTTTCTAGGTTTGTCAGCACCATACCCGTTCTCGTGGGTTTCACCAAAGTGGTAAATGTCTAAGACTAGCATCACTCCGGGCTTTCCTCCCACATTAAGCTGAAACGCCGCGATATAACTGGAATACTGTTAAAAGTGGCATTAAACCCAACTCACTCACTCACTCTTACATAAGAGCATTACAAATATTACAGAAAAAGTAATATATTATAGCGATTAACGAATACAAATAGACATTTAAAACATAGGCGCTACATGAAACGTACTCTGTTAAGAGCATTAAGAAAAGAGCTATTGGGTTAAAAAGCTTACAAACATCACGATGTATCATTTGTTCAAAAGAACAGAGGTCTTCGATCATTCATATCTAACGTCCAGAATAAGATTCTCTTCGTGCAGCTGGTAAAACTGAATAACAAGAGTTGAAAAAGTGTTATGGGTCGTCTAAAATTCGTGAGGCTAAATTAACAACATTCTTCACGAATATAACATCACGGTTCTTGTTCTAGTCTGTCCTTGTTTTGGAGTGAGAACATCATACATACTCTAACTATGTGTCAAATGGACCATAGCAAACAAAGTATATAGTTATTACTTTGATGTGTCAGAATCCGATGATCATGGATTCTAATTCCAGATAATGATCCTTGGTTTCTTAGAGCCCTAATACTTGTGTTTCACCAAAGTGGCATCCTTCTACAACCGCAGCTTCTTGTGACTTTCTTCCCCCGATATTATTCATGTTCAAATCAATATACACGTAGATTTGCTGATGGTATATCTTCCTTTTAAAAGTCCATGAACTCAAACGTCAGGCATAATGTATTTAAACTATTGCAAGCATAACGCAGGTATATTAGTATTACTCAACTAACGGAGCCAGGTAAATGATTACAAACAAAATAATTACAAACACACCTTTTAGCTCTCTCTGTCTTAATTTTGAAGAAGCCATGACTGCCTTCTGTAACAATAAACATATTATATATGTTAAATGTGATTGAGTAAATAGAATATCATTTGTTTATTGCTGGTTCTACATTTTCCCACTTTTGCATTCGACAACAACATAATTTATTATTTACAATAATACCTTATGGTTGCATATTCACACAATATGGCATGTTCCTATTGTGTGATTGTGAGGATAGAAAAAGATAGTGAGTGAGTGAGTTGGGTTTAACGCCGCTTTTAACAGTATAGAAAAAGATAAAGGTAGTTTTGTTAGTAGTTACACATTAAGAAACGGGTACGCCACTGGTTTACTGTAAGTCGTATTGGTGATCCAGATGCCCCTTGTTCTAGTTCATATGCCTCTGGTCCATATTTGTCATAACACACCAGGCCATTGACGGCTGGCACTGCAATTTCTATGACAAAGTAATTATTTCCAGTTGGGTGAAACTCAATCTTCACAAGTTCTGGTGGCAGCGGGCTGGGTTCAAGCTCTTCGTCAAAGTGTAGCACAAGTGTTTCAGTCCTAATTTTATCTTTTATTCTTGTTGCTACAGATGAATGATAAGCTTGAGGAACATCGATTCCATCCACTATATATGTTTTTGATTTATAGGAATCATAGTCTACAACCTTTTCAGAGATTCCAACATAATATGACCCTCCACCATCAACCTTGGTAAAGGCACAGATATAAAATTTCAGTCGAAGCTTATCCCAAACATGATTTGCCAGTCTTTCTGGGTTTTTGAGAATGTTCGCAATGTCGCCTTGTTGATCTGTTTCTTGTTCAAGTGAGAATGACTTGAACTGTAAACTCCGACTCTCTTGTAAATGATTCAACGTACGTATTTTAGCTGTAATATTTTGGAACAATGTCTTTTGTTTTAAGAACTGTACTATTTCCGTAGAAACTGGGTCATCAACTCTGTTGTCAAGTGGGACTTTTGTTTTGAAGTCAGCTGTTACAACTGTGAATGAAGGTGTTACTGTCACACCAACAATATTTCTATACAAATCGTAATCTATGGCTTCTTCGGGGGACTCTGCTTCAATGTCCTCGGCTTCAATGTCCTCGGCTTCGGTGTCCTCGGCTTCGTCATCAGAAGAGTCAGCTAAACAGTATAACCAATTCTTCCTGTACACTTGGACAAATAGACTTCCATCTTCAATAATTTCACGGAATTTATCATCAACAAGTTCATGAAAATGGTCCAGGTATTTATCTTCACAGGCAAGGTCTTGAATATGCAAAATGATGACACCTCCTCCTGAATTTCTTAATGCTGATATATACTTCTTGAGTTTCCGAACTAATGTGTCCCGAACCTGCCTTCTGGAATACTTTTCTTCATTGGATAAAGTTGTTTTTGGAAGGTTTATAAGAACTGATGGAGCGTCTAAAAACAAGAAATTGCTTTCCGATGAGAAGATTTTACTCGTTTTCCCAGATAGTGTTAAACACGTCGGGCACCCTGGAAAAAATGTAAAAGGTATTGCAGACTTTTAACTGGATCTAACCTACATAACATAAATGAGATAAGGCCGGGACGGATCAAAACTATAAAGTAAGTTTAACTTTGCACGTTTGAACAACATGTGATGGCTTACAGTCAAAGCAAATATTTCAAAAGCATTGTCAAGGAACCAGAGGTACGGGCCTTTCTGCTTTAAAGTTGCACTGCATATTACATGTATTTATCCAGCAGAAAGTTAGTTCTACAGGAAGTGCGTGTACACTCTCTTATTAAGGTTGGGGCATACGAATTGCCTTAGATAAGCGTTTTCCCACACTTGAAGTGATGTCATTAAACTGGATAATCTTTGGCGATGGGGGTTATGGGAAAGGGGAAAAACATGCACTGTCAACGGGTTCATTTCCTGAGCTGTTCACTATTAATAGTGAAGTACTGAATAAAAAACAGAATTTCTGAACTGGTGTATTAAGCTGTTTAAGATTTTTAAAAGTAAATTAAAGATTGTGCGTTTCCAATGAGAAAACTACTGATGCGTTAGTATGGCAGTGTCCAGTACCAAACATATAAGGCTACATACATCAGACAAGTAAGCTGCTTATGTTCACTTCACTTTCACTTTCAATCGATTTAGACAGCCTCTTACGTCGCGTGTTTACCCGCGGAAGAGTAAAGGGTAGACCGAATTTAATGCACCGTTTCGATTCGTTCTGTATTCCAAACATATTATTATACCAATGCCTCTTTGCTGCACGATATGAATGCTCTGTGTCGCTGTGTACCTAGTAGCGTTGTAGGTAGACTTTTTGGAATCGCACTGCATATAATGTAATTGTATCTTCGGCAACTGGAAATCATATTCTCGTTTATACAGACACCAGGTATGTGTTTTCCAAACCAGAAATGATGTTATTTTTAAACTTAATGTTATGCCATGAAAGTGGAAAGTACTTAGTTCCCCATTTATGCGAGTTAGTAACAGGTTATATTAAGCGTATCTGCTGGTATGGTTTTGTATTCACGTGGATCGGAATCTACATGTTTTGAGTCAATCGCCGTTATGAAGCAATGAAGCATGTAATAGACAAAGGTCAATTTATAAAATAGACAGCTTACAAAAATACCATAGAAAAGAGTGAATTATATACCATTATAGGCCAGGATACGTTTAGTTCGCGGCAATAGTGAATGAGCGTAGCGCCGCAACGTTTTTAATCTTTGACGCCACTGCATTGTAACCATGTGGCGTCACGCCATTGCGCTCTCCGATGGCATCGATGGAATGACGCTGCACGTTAGGAATGACATGAAATATGTAAATGCACACGTTTTATCAATGTACTATTAAATTATTTGATAAAGTTAAATAATATTATTTCTCTTTTATTCAAAACAGCTGCAGAGGGCACGGGTGGCCTAGTCGCCTAAGGCGACGCGATTCGCTGTGCAGAGTTCCGTCCCTAGGGCACGCCAGAATCCTATGATTGTGGGTTCGAATCCCAGTTCGCCCCGATTATGTTTCTAGGTTTATCAGCTCCATACCCGTGCTCGTGGGTTTCACCGAAGTGGTAAACGTCTGAGACCTGCATCAATTCGGGCTTTCCTCCCACATTAAGCTGACACGCCGCGATATAACTGGAATACTGTTAAAAACGGCGTTAAGCCCAACTCACTCACTTATTATTCAAAACAGTTAAGGCTGTGAGTGAGAGCGCAATAAAATGTGCACATATTTCATTTGGACAGAAATTGTTAAGTACTCTTGTTAAAGTGAGTGAGTGAGTTCGGTTTAATGCCGCTGTTAACAGTATTCCAGTTATATCGCGGCGTGTACAGTGGAGGTGAATTCACACTCAGTAGTAACCAGGTTTACCGGATATATCTTGATCTCTGTTGTATATAATCTCAACAGCAGCTATATTCATCTGGGCCATTGTCCGTCTACTACTTCCAAGGCGGTAATAACGGGATGATTCATTGTCTAGACCTGTAAATTATGAATTGCACCTTGTTAAATTCATACGACAAAACCATATCAAAGTGAGTATAAGTACCTTCGTGCAAGCTTAGGACATATATAGATTCTTTACTAACTACTCAGATAAGTCTTATCCGATTGTGCCTTTTACTGTTGCCTTTTTTTGCATGTTTGTTGTTTGTTGTTAACTAAGGGTCAGCAAAGATCCTGCTAGATCAGGATGGCCTGTGAATGATCGAGTCTAGACGAGTGATTGGTATCGCGAGTACGAAACGCAATCAACCATGTCAACGAACATAGCCATCCGATCAATTTAGTAACCATTGCCAAGAACGTTCCGTGCATTACTCAAGTTGCACAAACATGCTGGATACAATGTATAGTAAAACTAAATGTGGAAGCCATATACAAACATGTCATTTGGTAGTGCTTTGCGGCCATTGTCATAAAGTTCTTTTCAAGGTGTCCAAAATCTGCAGACTGATATAGACGACGTAATGTGTTGTCGGCGAGTAGCATATCTTACAACTTCGAATTGATTGACTTTATGTTTGGGGAACTAGCAGGCCGTCAATATATCAAAACTAATTATGTAAAATTAAGCTGGTAATGGTATGTGTAATCTCCTGAAAATATACGAAGTTCCTGATATAAAGGTCCAATAAATCGGTATTGTTTGATATTGACGTATCTTTTAGAGAAAAAAATCAAGGATGTTTTTAAAAGATATTATTAAACATATTATCTAATTACTTTTATTTGTTTCAGGGACAGGTGACAAAAACATTATCAAATTTTCAAATATGTGAGATGTACCAAATAATTTACCTGAGTATACCATATCACTGGTAATCTTCAGCAACCTATGCTTGCCTTAAAGGTCGACTATGATTGTCGTAAGAGGCGACTAACGGGATCGGATAGTCAGGCTCGCTAATGTGGTTGATGCACGTCATCGAACCCAATGGCGTGTTTCGATGCTCATGATATCAATCACTGTATTGTCTGGTCACGACTCGATTATTTACAGACGCAGTCATACAGCTGGAATGTTGCTGAGCACGGCGTGGGGGGTGGGGTGGTGGTCGTTCGGAAGTTGCATGTATCAAAGTAATATCGTTTTGGTTGTTTTATCAGATTTGTGGCCAGAAATATACTATCCACATAAAGAAACTGTGCACGGAGAAAATATATTCTGGATTGAAATACAACACAGCAAGAACAAAATGATGCAGTCGCTGTAGCAGCTGAATGATCGGACCATAAGAAAATGTCAAAAGGGAACTGAACAACATCTGTTACGATGACGTCAGAAGATAAAAATGGAGTAGGGGGTCAAACGACAAAGTCACAAAGTCAATAACGGGTATGACCACCCTGTGCGTGAATCACAGCAGTGCATCGGCGACGCATGGAGTCTACCAAATGGGCATGGAAGGCCTGGGGAATGGCCTGCCATATCCTCCTCAAATCCTGTGCCAAGTCACGGACGTTATCTGGAGGATGTGGAAGACGACGCAGACAGCGCTCCATTTCATCCCACACATGCTC